AAATTTAAGGTGGTGGAGTAATACCTTGGCCATCAAGCTACCGCTTAATTTAAGAATACTGTAAGCATTTTTATCACACATTTTTTCCTCGTTTGCAGAGGATGGTTTTCTGTGAATTTTCATGTAACTGTCTAGTTAACAAACAGTACAGTTTGCGACCGCGCGCGGTTTAAAAAGTGCCGGGATAAGCACTAGTTTCTATGGGCCTACGATGACTTCCCGTCGCACCTGAGTCGCACGGCTCCCAACCGCCCCAGGGCGCCATCCGGGCGAGAATCATCAATTGCGAGGTTACGATCTACCGGTTAGTATGTCACTGGCAAGCCACTAGCAAAGTGATTAATATTAATATTACAATATGAATCACTTTGCAACTAGCAAGCAGGCGCGACTGAGCATTTTTGCTTCGTCACACGTTTCCCGCGTTTGTTCATCAGTATTTAACTGTGCTTTCGAATTTATGTTCTTCTGAGCTTTTCCATTACTTATTTAAACTCTCAACTAATCCCAGTTTTTTCTTTGTATCACGCAGGTTGTAGCTATGTATACTTATAGTGGAATCCATCAAACAAACAGCGTGGATGTTGTGGGCGCCGACGGCCTGGTTCGGTACGGACGCGTTGTAGATTTGACTGACTGCGGGTTCTACGTAGATTTCCAATGTCCCACGGCACGACGTCGTTTCTTCCCTTTTGGCAGCCAGGTCTTCCTGAAGAGTGGAAAACATCTTTACGGAGACGATCTGGCAGCTATGTATGCGCAAAGGCTGTCAGTTATGCCCGTAGAAGTGTTGATGCGTGAGACCCTTTCCAGTCCATGGACGTGGTTTCCAGCCGAAATAATTGATCTGACGCGCGGCAGAAAGTACGAATCGAATGATGCCGTCGTAGTAAAGTGGGGTTACAATTTAACGCGTACCGAAATTGTCCCCTGTGGCCGAATCCGGTACAGAATCCCAAAGACTTGCTGGAATACCGTTGGCAAGCCAGATGATTCGGTTTCTTCTGGCGCAAGTACAGGAGACGGGCATGGTGATCCCACTGCACAGGGCTCTCCCGATTACGTGGCCCGTTGCGTCGGAAAATCTTTGTTTGTTAAACGCGGCATACAGTTGCCGAGCGAATACTGCTCGGTAACCGCTGAAGAGCTACGGAGAAATCTCGACAATGACCCTTGGTGGTATTACGAATTGGTAGCTTATGAGGAGGTGGGTTTTGTGGAGAATAGAGATGGCACCCTGTGGTATATTGAGCGCCGGTTTGCGGATTACCAGAAAGAAGACATAGAAGAAGCCCTCCGCAGCGAACCAGCTGTAAGTACGGTATTTGTCGGGTTCATTTCGGGTCGGCTCTCTCGCTGCACATCTGTAACTGCTCTTTAAGTTAGAGTGCGATTTGGGTTTATTGTCAAACAAACCAGCCAACAGATTTGTATTTATAAGCGTTCTTTAACTTAATGGTGCTGTCTGTGTTCAGTTATGCTGTACGTCGCATACAACTTTTGACTGTAAGTATACTGTACTTGCACAATACTGCTGAGCAGCCTGTCAAAATACTGTTCTCTGCAGGCACGCATTGCAAGATTCGCAAGTACAATCATCCGAAGTCTGAGGTACCTTCCGAGTAAAGAAAAATCGTCGGCCGAGTTAGATGCCATGGCCATGGGCGACGTCAGTGTACTGCCGGTGGAATTGTGGATGGACGTGTTATCCCATCTGGACACGCTGACACAGCAAGCACGACGCGTGGTCTGTACAACTTTCGACTCCATCCTTCACTCGCCTCTACTGACTACCACTATTATTCCGGGGTTCTGGCATGTGGACGATTACGATCGACGTGACTATGTACTGACATCTCCTATCTTCAAATGTTTACGACCGTCCACACGCCGCCTGGTTCTGGTCGGCGAGCGGGGAGACTGCAGGATGGACAATTTGTGTAAGGTTGCGGATATGGTGGGGTATGTTCAGCAGGACACTCCCGGAATTCGATTGGCACTCTGTATGGTGCGGTGTTCGCTCCAGCTTCGATTGGAGAAGGAAAACCACATGATACCTTGGTATGACTGTTCGATGCATCATGCTCAAGCAGCACTGACCGCTGCACACGACACTCTGGATGATTTTATTTCGATATACCGTTCTCTTCCGTGCGATACGATCCACCTAAGCCAGTGTCAGCTGAAATTGTCGTTGGACGGTACGCCAGGTGTACTCCAACTGGCTATTAATATTTCCGGTACACGGCTGACAGTGAACGATGGCTTAGCGAATACGGTGCGGGAAGCGTTGGAGGCGGGTTTGCCCGTGCCGCGTGATGACCAGCTACATGGACTTTTGACCTCTCTGGCCCGGATCACTGATGTGCAGAACGAAGATCCTCGGTTTCGTGTTAATTACCGGAAAGCGGTTTGCAAGGTAAGGTGTGGCGCGCAAGACTTCAAGTTAAAATCGGTGAATCTGATAGCATAAGGCTGTCACTTTGGTCGCCAAAAGCGAAACGTGCGCTTTTGTAGATTCTTTGTGCAACGCAGACAGCGGATCCGCGCTCGTCGCTGCATTTCCGCGGAAAAAAGTGGTGCGTGGATGGTCTGAAGGATTTGAACCTGGGAAAGCTGTCACGCATTGCGATACATTTCCTCATGGAGTTGGTGAAAGACGTCGATGTATTGTGCGCCAGCCGCTCGTTTTGACATGCCTACGCATTACTAAACGACGCCGTTGAAACAAAGTATAAAGTTTTGCTTTTGCAGAATCATTACTGCTTACATGTATGCATTATGCTTCTTGCAGTTAGTCATAATTATGGTATGTCGTTTTCAGGTACACCGTGGCTATGTCGCACGTGAAAGCCAGCTCGAAGAAGTCAGGCAGCGTGGCCCAGCTAGCAGAAGGCAGCGTGGCCCAGCTAGCAGAAGACTTTAAGCGGCGGAAGTACGGCTTTGTAGAGGATATGGGATACATGTTCTACCCTCTCGCAATAGAAACATTTGGAACTTTTGGGCCTGCCTTTGCTGAGATGATACGCTTCGTCGGTAGGAAAATCCGCGATTTAACCGGTGAATCTCGATCCACTGCCTTCCTTAGACAACGTTTCAGTCTCGCTGTTGTTAGAGGAAATGCGGCCGCTGTCTTGGGTACATTAAATGCCCGATTGAAAGTTGGAAATGACTGTAATGATTTTGGTTGTTTCTTCAATGTGTAAATTCGGAATCTTTAATTAGTATCTACCAGCGCAGGCTTGCTGTTCTGTTAATAGGCTATTGCCCGAATAAATATAATTATGGTTAACATCATTAAGTGCGTAACATCCACATTGCAGCACTTTATGCTGTGGAAAGAGGTATCATTGTTTTTTACTACGGGTCCACATGTTGAAGATAAAAGATCGCACGCTGTTAGGGATGATCTTCCTCTTTGTTAGGATGGTTATGTTGAAAATGGCCTTATTAGCTTAGTGTACTGTAGTCTCTGTAACGCTCGCTTGCTTGATCGAGACTGACAGCTCCCGAAGTATTCTTGCAACCTTTTCATTTGATAAGAAACGTGAAAGAGAAATGAGGAGAATGAAAAGAGCAATGAACGGATCATCAATTTTATTCTAACGCGAGCACTTCTATCAGCGTAAACAACGCTTACTGGAGACCACAGACTGGCATGCAAGTCACCTGCATTTACGCTGCAAATAAGAAATGTCGGTTCATGCATGAAAACGTTTCGCACTTCAAACCGTCCACGCACCACGCTTTTCCGCCAGAATGCGACGAGAGAATCGGATCACCCGGCTCCTTTGCACAGTCACACTAAGTCTACCTAATTAATCTCGCACAAATATTTCTAAGTTGTAACAAATTGAATAGTTCGCTAACGGGTTATTCAAAACGGTTTTCAGGGAAGGTTAAGTGTAACGGTAAGGGTTTTGATGACGGCAAGGCACAGTTGAAAAGTCACAAGTGAAAATGAAAAAGCAAAAGGGAGGCAGGCAGGCAAGGGTAATCTTGGCCGGACCACCTAGTAGAAGCAGGTTCAGTAAATTAAAGTAAGTTTGATCAGAGTTGTAACAGATTGGTGTGTTGTATGTTTTCCGATTGGATGTGCCCGATGACTAACCGGAAATTGTGAGTGCGTTTTCGCGCTCTCGATCATCGCGCTTTTTTTCTCGTACAGCGCATTTCGCTCTTTGAAAACCAGGTTCGCTTCCGCCATAAAAAAATTCACCAGTCGCTGCGTTAATTAACAGTTACTGTAGTCGCACCGCACGTGATTTCGCTACCAGTGGTAGCGACATGAACAGTTGTGGCAACTGGTAACTTTCCAATTTCGAAAACAATACCATGTGTCGAGTCAACTGTCAACAAAGTGTCTTGCTAATCGCCGCCAGAAAAGATGGAATTCTTATCGCCATATGCTCTGACCATTTGGAAAAGACAAGGTTTCGAATTAACAATAGAGTTACCGGTATATGAGCGAAAGCATGAAAGACACAAACGGCACAATATTCGGAGGGAACAACAATGCCGATGTTACGGCTGTGTCGTTACGATACTGAAAATGTCTAAATTGAAGATGGAAGCCGTTTTCGGAAACTGAAGCAGCTGCAATCAACATACCGTAATTCCGCACTTCGACGTGCTGTTTGAAAGCTTTTGCTACGAGGAAGCCAAGATGCTGAACATCCGCGTTGCACGGTTGCGTTATCCTAAACTTAAAGAGTTCTTAATATGAGCCTTGTCCTAACGCAAAAGTGTTACATCAAAATAATTTTTATGCACACAGGATAAGGAAAATCTAGATATGGCCACGACCACCACGAAGAAAGTTGAAAACAGTTCAGTCCAAATACCAGACCATTTCTCTGCTATAGCTTTGCCCACATGCATTTACCGGAAGCAATCGAAAGCAAAAACATCCTTGTCACACATTAAGTCATCCACTGGTGTCTGGCAAAAACTGAAAAAATAACTGTAGCGTCATTTTGTGCGCAAGAATTGTGCGTTCATCATTCAGCTTGTCCTGCGACGATATCCGCCAGTCGGATGAGGGCATTTAAAGCAACATGGGACAGCTTCTCTAACTGCAAATTTCCCAGGCCTTCGATGCACCACTTCGTCCCACGATAGTGCTGCGTGGGTCGTGGATCAGCTGTCTGCGTCGCACATAGTACCTGAAAATTCACGCCATCCACCGTCATGTGCTTTATTTGCCCGAAAGACGATACCAGTAGCAAAATTACCTTGCATGCAGCAGGAGCAAGCAGATCCTCGCCAACCGCATTGCCCAGCGTAGCCAACCACCGCGTCAGCGCTTGGCGCTGCTCTAACGTGGGCAAGGGCAAACTGGCTTCCAACGCATCCCACACCGCGACTTCCAGATTATTCGCTGTCTCCAGTCCCGCCATAGAAAAGCAGCTAATAACTATAAATGGCGACTGCTCAGTATCCGGCCAGCCGCTGACACGGTCGATGTGAGCAATGCAGTTTTGCAGGCGAATTCGGTCGCATGGAAGGCTCCGACATGCTGCGATAAAATCAATCAGGCGGATAATATTATATTTATCGACGTGAACGTTGAACTTGCGCGGCGCTGGTTTGGGCCCATGCTGCACGCAGTCATCGTGCTCTATCTCTGAGTCGAAATTCAAACCGAGCTGGAAACTGCAGCGGAACCCGTCTAAATATAGTGCCGGCAGTCGCAATCCGGCTTTTTGTTCTGCAACATAGTGGATCATGTCCAGCACAATATGGATATCGCTAGTTCGCAGCGGGGATCCGCGATCAGCCACGATGATGCACTTTGTCGAGGAGCTTAGACATTTGAAAATGGGTGCCACCACAAAATAATCACGGCGGTCAGAATTTTCCATCTTTTTGGATTCCGCGGTCGTGATTATAATACTATCAGTCAAGAGAGGTGAGTCCAGTAAGCAAGAAAATGTTACGCACACACCCCGTAGTTCATTCTGTGTCAATGTGTCCAACTGGGAGAAGACCTCCAACCATAGCTCTCCGGACAAAGCATTCAAAACATCAAGTGGTTTCTCTTTTCCTAGCTCCAAGTTCGCTGGATTCGGCATGGGAAGGAAACGAGCAATACATTTCATTAAACTGTCATCGAATCCTTCTTCTGAGAATCCCTACAAATTTAAATCAAGCTTAGCGTTAGCGCACTTAAAATAATGATGAGATGCAGTTCTACCAGAATCTTGTCTTGGAGACATTCGCTGTTTGGATGACAACGCGGATGACTCTCAATGTACCACAAACGCCCATCCACAATCTCCACGAAAGCAACTGACCGCAGCATACCTGTATACTACCCATAACAAGTTTTCCTTTTTCGACGAGGTTCACCAGCGTGCCAGCCCACCAATCGCTGGGTACTCGCCGGCGGATTCTGTCGCTGAGGACAATATCTGTACAGGTCCTCACGGTGCCCCAGCGCACGACAGCCACATCGTACGAAGTGTGCACTGCCCCGCGCGCCAAGTTAACCATCTCAGCGGGATACCACTTCCAGGCACCGGAAACCGCCTCGCGCATCAGAACCTCTACGGGAATTGTGTCATTTGTCTGGTTGGATCTTGCGTACTCTTCGGCTATACCCTCTCCGTACATTAGCTCTGTGGCAGCAGGGCTTATGTCAGTAGTTGGAAGAAACACAGGGCTGCCAAATGGGAAGAATCGGCGTCCTTCAGTAGATAGCAAGTCCACGAAGAACCCGTTCTCGGTAACGTCGACCACTCGTCCGTAGCGTACCATGCCGTCATTGTCCAGAATATCCACACGGTTTATCTGTTCAACTCCGCTGAGCATTGTGGAGGACACCTGATAAACGGGTAACGAAACAGGTAACTAGTTTTCAGTTTCACAATGATTTGCAATGAGTGAAACTGGGAAGAGAACTTTCGGCGGAAGGACCAAATAGTTCAACCATATTCACACAGTCTTCCACGGACCGTCTTGAACTGATGTTTCTCTTACTGCTGAATTGTTGTGATTCCGAAATTCAGGATCCGCTCACCTTCAGAGTGCACACTGCACAATAAGCAGAGAAAAGCAGCTTCAGTAAATGGAAAATCGCTACGATGTAGAAAGGTGGCAGACCTACTCTTACGTGTTGTTGTATTTGAATGCAGAACTGAAGAGCAGATTAACGGGATATACTTGTTTGAAACATGCCACTATTTATGGCTACTTTGAAAATTTTTTCTGTGCCTTGTTTTGGTCCGTTTTAGAAGTGTATAGGCTCATTAGAAAGCTAAAAAATCGCGCTTTTTAACAGACAGATTTTCAAAAGCAGCGCTAAAAGCACAAATGTTAGAAACATTTTATGTTGCGTTTTGCCCTTAAAATCCCATCAAGCAGTAAATAAACATCTTCAGGTTTGATGTTTTCAGTTGAAACATAAAATTATTTTACATACTGGGTTTATTTGAAAAAACTTTGAATTAAAGCTAAAAGATGTGAATTTTTAAACATAGAACTAATTGTTCCCACCGATAAAACCACTGAGCGCTGGAGTTCGAAGATTCTATCGCAAAACCAAAGTAAACCCAGTATGTGAATAATTTTCTGTTTCCAGCGGTACAGAACATCCAATTCCATTGCGGCAATGGAATACAAAACGCGTAGAACTGTCCAAATATTATTCCTAGTAAATTAGGGTCTCCGTGTTTCGAAAATGGTCCGCTGCATCGGTGCACGAGTTTGAGGAGACAACCACGCTACCTGCAGGCTGCGCATGGCGTTCATGAAATCGCAGCCTGCGCACGGTCGTAGCGCTACGCAGACACGCAGCCCGCGTGCGGTTGGGTACACTTTGATTCGAAATGTGGTGGCAGCTACGTGAATCGAACCGTGCTGCTGCACCCGTGCGTCATTTTAGACCCCCGGTACTTTTTGGTTTTAGACAGATTTCTGTTTCTGTTCAGTTTCTATGCTTTTCAAAAGATCTCTCATTTTAAAGAGCATTTTTTTCTATTCTACAAAATGTAGTTACTGTAACTTCTCTAGGAATGAAGCAAAACAAATAGATCGCCTTAAGTAACTGACAGAGTGCGAATACATAGTCAACAGACTGAGCTGCAGCCTGAGCATGTCAAGTGGCACAAGTATGTCGTGTTCCCGGCCACCACGGGGATGTCATTCACCGAACCTTTTTTTAGTTTCTGACAAAGTGCGTTAACTGTGTTGCCGTTAATTATGTTGTACGCAGGCCCGTCATGAGACCTGTGCAATTTTCAAAAAAAACTCCTCCTACAGTTTTCATCGGAAAATTGTTCTGAATGCACCATTGGATTCGTCGAATTCTGAACAAAACGGTTGAGGCCGATTTTTGAAATTCGCATTTCCCCAGACCGTTACTGCGGTCGCCATGTCGACAGCCAGTTCTTAGGGCATTCCCCTGGCCCCAAGGGCAGTCAAAGACACCTTCTCGAGCCATTTTCAGTGATACAATTAGTATTTCAAGCGCAAATGGTTTCTCTATTTCTGAGGGGTCAGGGGGAAAAGCCCCAAAACTTGGGTTGTGACATAGGCGACCGCCCGGGTGGACGTGCTTGGGGAGGAACGAATTTTGAAATTTGGCCTCAACCGTTTTGTTCAGAATTTTACGGCGAGTTCAGGAATGTTTTCAGAAAAAATATGCGATAAAAACTGCAGGAGAAGTATATTTTTGAAAGTGCACGGGGGAATTCCCCAGAAGTCAGGCTGTCGAATTGGGGACCGCCCGTAGTGAGGTCTAGGGAAATGTGAATTTCAAAAATCGGCCTCAACCGTTTTGTTCAGAATTTCACGACGAATCCAATGGTGTATTCAGAAAAATTTTCCGATGAAAACTGTAGGAGGAGTTTTTTTTTGAAAATTGCACAGGGGTCTCGCGACGGGCCTGGTTGTACGTGTTCTGGCACAAATGTATAACGATGACAAGTTTCGCTGTAACTCCAACCGCGGCCGGAACGGATAATAATAATAATACCGACAGCAATCAGTTGTGTTGTCGACGTGGTTTCTCTCGATCGTGCGTTTTGGTCGGCACCAGACCTGGGCAGTTATGGAAAATTGACCCGCAGTTAAAGTTACGAGTTACAAGAAGCGTGCGAGTTGCGCTAAGAGTTAAGTTACTTATGCAGGAAAACCGAGTTCCGAGTTACACCGCGAGTTACGCTACCATAGACAATATATAGAAATTTTATGAGAGTTAAGTTTTCTTCTGAGTGGAGTTACGTTCAAGAGTTAAGTTTCAACTCAAACATAACTCGCGCTCAGTTAAATAGTTAAAACTAACTGCCCGGGTCTGGTCGGCGCCGATGCATAAAAAGTTACTCATGATCGATCGGCAAGTCTAAGTGCGGAAATGCAGCAACTTTTTGAAACTCGAAAACTAATATCGATTGTGCCGCTCGATTGAGTTACCGATATTACACGTTATTTGCACGTGCAACACCGGATATCGGGGTCAAAATGTACAAACTTTTGTAGAGTGATCCCATTGAGACTGGACTTACTGTGATTTCCTGTTTGAACAGTTACCCACCGTTTGCGCACGACCACCATTCGCCACCTGCTTTACCCCGTTTCCAGATAATTCTGCCGGCTTTCGTAGATCTAATGCACAACGTTCTGGCCTTGCCATCGACATCCGCTAATCTCAGTGTTATTGCCCTGCGATCCCGATATTTTCGGATCTTTGCTGTGGCGCAAAGCAAAGCAAGCAAAGGGCCCAAAGTCCGGGAAGAGGGAAATACTGCAAACTTTTGGTTTGCCGATTTTCATACGCTTGAGCGAAGACACCATCATAATTTATATGTAATTTTCTGACAGTACGGTCTGTACAGATTTCAAAAACCAGGAATCTTTTTACTCGTACATTAAGCAGAAATTGTCTGCTTTCCCGTGTTATTACATACAGAAGTAGTTTTCCCAGACGTAGAAGACGACGGCGACGACGTTTACATACACAAGTACTTCTACTAGTAGTACAACGTTAAGCTCCCAGTTCTGTTGTCCTTATCACAAATTCAAAGAAAGATTGTTTGAGCAGTTTCCAGTCTGTCCAACGCCTGTGGTCTTTATGTTGTCCTGGTCGCAAAATCAGTTTCACGAACTGGATTTCATCTTCGAGACAAAGTTTCCAAATAATATAAATTTATTTCGTTAATAAAGTCCAGTTCGGCAATCCCGAAGGTCAATTTCAAATCGTGCAACGGCCATTTCTTACCATTCAGGTCACATCCGTGTTCCTCTTATTTTTAAGGTTTCTCCTTCGAACGCTAGACTTCCTGTACAAGTTGACGCATAACATGTGTGCCTGATCAACTGTTCAAAGAATAGATGAGTTGCCATAGAGCTCGTGACGTCACGAACCGGAAAAAAAACCAAACCTCGGCAAAACCGACGGCGAAATTACCCGAAGCGCCAACAGAGATAATCAACTGCTCCAAATGTAGGCATTTCTAACCGGAAATGCGAGGCAGCAAGGGTTCCTAACAAAATCGCTTATAACTGTAACTTTGGTGCTGTTGGAATCTGCGCTTCTATGTTCCCCTTATACAAATCACCTAGTATCTAATTAATTTGGCACAATGCGCTTGTCGAAACTCAGTTTTGAAGGCAAGCAATCGAGGTACGAACATGGGCCGTATAGCGTTGCGGCTTACGGGCGAAATCGTTTCCGGTCCATCTATTTTTTTCACGTGATTAGAGATCACCTGTGGGCTGTGGCAGCTCATCTATTACAGCATGAGTATTGTAAGGTGTACCGCTTGAGATGGAAACTTCATCTGAGTCACCCGCGATGTATTCTAGCGCATTCATCTATTTAAACTGCTAGTGCAGTCAAGAATTGTGCGGATAGTCATTATGCCGGAATCATTCACGGTGGTCATTTTCAACAACATCGGCATCAGCAGTAGTTTTTCAGACCACCGTACTAATTGCGCAACTTGGAATTGCTGGTTAAACATTAACGTAGCCTAAACTGCCTAATGACACGGGGATTTCATCCAATAGGTATTTAATAAGTTGCTGGAACTCCATCAGATAAAACAATGCTATCGTTTCTCCTGGGCTTGAATCGTAGACAGAGCTTTATATTTAATTAGACCAACACAGATAAGTCACGTGATACACATTGTATGCCAATAAGAAAATTTCGATGTTTGACACAAAAAGCCATTGTGTACTAAATCTTTACACCAAAACCGAACGCTTTACTATTCCATTTCCTCTACGAAAAACTTTATTCTGTCATAGGATTACATCATTACAGGCAAAAACTAATTACGAGCATCTGAAATAACAATAAAACGTTATCGATACCTGGTGGCATTTGACGTCCATACAAACATCAACAGCAAAGGGTGCTGTAACTAGTTCTTTAGATTGATTAAATTGAAGACGAAAAACAAACTCAGGTACATCAAAGTATCAAAGTATGGCACATAACCAATGATATCTCATATTTAATCCGCATTAGAACCCCCAGGCATGACGAGAAAGTGCATCGCAATCCGGGACAGCTTATCCACCTGCAACTCGCCCAGTCCGTCAACGCACCATTTCTTTCCGCGATAATGCGACCGTGAACGCGGATCCGCAGTCTGTGTTGCGCACAACACCTGCCAAAATAATAAATGGAGTGGTCTGGCCGTAGCTGTTTGTGCCCGGTGAAACCGGTTGTTTAATTTGTGAGCTGTGAGCAAATATTCTGATTGTTATTTTATCCGAATCGTGTACGCTAGTACTGGATTGCATGAATAATACTTGCATTTCAGGATAAAACTACCCTTTCGACGCTTATTATCGCTCACGACCCAATAAAAAGTGCTTTCGTGGTCATACAAAGGTCATTGCAAAATCGGTAGCGAGAAAAATAAGGTTCTACCCAGTGAGAAAGTGAGCACCGGATTCTTTAAGGAAAATTTTATAGGTTTTTTGTTGGAGAAATGCACAGAAAGAAAGACAGTAAGGGGCTAAATTATCGAAGAGGAAGAAACGCAATGAGACCAGCACTGCATACACACACCAAGAAGTATTCCGGTAACTGCGTGGCCAGACAGGCCAGCGAGTAAACGCTTTCTGATTCGTGTTCAGTGTCCAGTGTCGGTCTCCAACAGTCAACTGCCTCCTGCACTAGTGTACTGTAACTAACGATTGCGTACTGTAACTAACAGCATTAAATAATGTGTATCTCACCTTGCAAGCCACACTCCTTAAATCCGATTCCTCTTGTGATCTTGCATCCTCTTCAGCTAAAAATGCCAGGATCTCCGTCAGTATCTGCATCTGGTTGTTACTGATTCCCGGCAAACACATTTCCAGAGCATCCCACACTGCGCCCTCCAGGTCATTGTTGTTCAGTAGTCGAGCCGCGGGGACATTGATAACCAGACTGGGGTAGTAATCGGGGACGACATACAGTTCCACGGTGCAGCTGATCAACTGTATCGAAGTGCACGGAAGAGCCCGGCAGGCTGCGACGAAATCGCACAAGTGAACGTTACTGTATCGCCTGTAAGGCTGACTGTTTACGCTGTTGGGATGCTGTCCACAGTCAGGCGGGTCCAGTTCGTCCAGAGAATCATATTCTGCGTTAATTTGGAAACGGCACTGGAAACCCACGAGACAAATCGCTGTTAATCGGATTCCGGCGCGCTGTTGCGCAACATAGCGTATCATGTCTGCGATCTTTAAGAACGTTACGTCCCTTATCAGCCACCACCAATCAGCGATAATGATGCGCCGTGTCGACGCGTGCAGGCATTTGAAGATGGGCGATGCCAAAAGATACTCCAGCCGGTCGGGATTCTCGAAACTTTCAAAGCTCGTAATGATAATGTTTGTCGTCAACAGAGGCGACTCCAAAATGGAATTCCTCGTTGGACAGACCGTGCGCAGCTTCGTCTGCATTATCGTGTCCAGATGGGAGAACACTTCCAACCATAACTCCACCGGCACTGCGCATACGCCGGCCGGACTTCCGGACGTTTCGGATCGCGGTATTGATGCTCCGATCACGCGCGGAAGACGTTGGATCAGCTGGTGATGAAATTTAGCAACAGGATGCTGCAAATACAAAAACATTTACCAGCTCCAGTCATCCCAGAGAGACGTACCATGTTTACCGCTAATCCTGCAAAATCGCCGCTCGATCGCCGCTTCTCCAGATAACAGAGTCGCGTATCCTTCACCTCCACAAATGCAAGTGGACGATGATGCAGCACACGGTCAAAACGCCACGGCGCACTGTGCAACAACCTCGGCAGCTCATTCGGCGATGACAACGCGCACAATTCATCCGGCAGCTTCACATTCCGTTGTACAAATGTCCATTTCTCAACACGTTTTCTCCTCAAATCAGGAGCATACACATACGAGAAAGCAGACGTTGATGGAACCCGGATGCGCTCACTAGGAATGATATCCCATCGAGCAAACTGCTCGCCCCATCGGACCACTGCCATACAAAGCGATCTTTCTGTGAAGAGGTAGATTTTAACCATACGAGCTGGAAACCATGTCCACGGAGCCGACGGCGTCTCCCGCATTAGAATTTCCACGGCGATGTTGTCTGCCTCCTTTCCGCACCCCGCAGCACCGATACTTTCGGTGATCGAGTGGCGTGAAAATTCACATAAAAAGACGCTGCTGCCAAAAGGAAAAAATCGGCGCCGTCCGGTGGGGCAGAGGAAGTCAACGAAAACCCATTATCCGTCACTTCCACCACGCACCCGTAACGAACTAGACCATTGCCAACCACAACATCCACACTGTTGATTTGGTAGATTCCGTTAGACATGGTTGGGGTTTAGTTGGAATAAATCAACAATGAAGCTTCTGCTTTACGCAAAACGGAAGATCTAAAATCTGCACTACAATTCGAGATAAGTCAATGCTCAGTGTGGCTTTTTTAGGATTGCTGAAATGTGAAATGTATAGTTTCGCAGTCTGTAATGCAAAGCTGCTTAACCGTGTTGGCTTTATCCCCGAGTGGAAATATGTAGCAAGTAAAAATGTGTGGAAGCCTGTCTTGCAAAATACGGTATGTACAGCATAATATACAGTAGCATTTCATACCGAGAAGCTGGATCTTGCATTGTCTTTATTAGGCTTTATAGTTTTAGATGTTTTTCCTCTTCGGTACGTTGTACAATAGAACAAGTCACATAAATTGCACTCTGTTAACCTGTGCCAGTAATCTTTGGCACGCCCATTATTTGCACCCCGTATGTAAAATGCATGCCCCTGGAGGTGGTACCTGGAATGTAGCTCGATGTTTAGTGATCTGCATGGGGTAACTAACTGTAAACAGCACCCGCTCGCGGTCTGGGCGCTCACTTTTCGTACTTGCGGGAAGTCGGACAAAACACTGCATGAAGCGCGCTGACCTGCTCATAAAATCTATACGACGCACGGCACTGCCGAAAAATGTGGAACATTTCACACTCATCGGCGGCTGACTGTAAAGCAGTAAGCACGATGAAGCAACAAAAACAGTGAAAACACACATTTTAAATCGTACGTATCTTATTATACGGTAAAATAATATGTACGAGTAGCGATGATTTATAATCAACGTAGTGTTACGTGAAAGAATATTATTAAGATTCGTGAAAAAACTGAGGTACTACCGATTTGCATCGTTCAAACAATAACCAAATAATTCCTTCAGTAAAATGTATGCCAGCTGGAGCAGTGTAATAACTGTAACGGAAAAAATGCCGTAACTGTGTAAACTGTAAGTCTATAACTGCTGATGCAGCACAAGTACAGCAAAACTTGAAATGCGCTACTGTACACAACAAGCTACTCTCGCCGGCAAATTAAACTGAAGGGATGCCTTTTGTCCGCTCCCTTATTACATGCCAGGAGAACTAGAAGCCCCAGTGCAGTGCGAGACAGCTTTTCCGGTTGCACATTCCGCGATCCATCAACGCACCATTTTTTCCCGCGGTAATATGTCGACGGACGCGGATCCGACGTCTGCAAGGAGCACAGTATCTGCAAAACCTAAAAACGAAACCAATGCTTGCAGTGCAGAACCACGTCAATTAAAGATCATTACCTCGCATGCCGCGTCTTGCCGTTTCGCTTCATCTTTCGATGAAGCGATTTGCTCGTTGGCAATCCAAGCCAGGAACTTTGACAGCGTTTGCATTTGCTCGTCACTAGTGGCCGGCAAATTCATTTCCATCGCTTCCCACATAGCGCACTCTAGGTCATCGGTGTTCATCAGTCGAATCACACGGGCATCGAAAAACAGAGATGGCAGGCGTCTGTCAGGCGTTCTATCATGGATGAAAAGCTCATGTGTGCAGCGGACGTAGTAAACCCGGTCGCACGGCAACCAGCGCCATGCTGCCATCCAGCTGTCGGAAAGCCCTTCACCACGGTTAGGCAAATTGTTAGAGTCTTTAAAATGCACTCCACAAACATCTCGTTGAGTGTCTTTATAATGAATCGTTCTGGTGGCAAACGAGATGCAAACAGCAACCAGATAAATCGCTGTTAATCGAATTTCGGGGTTGGCTTCCGCAACGTAACGAATCATGTCCGCAATTTTCAGGAAGCCCTCAATCTGGAGCCGCTCGCATCCGTCAGCAACAATGATACGACGTGTGGATGCGCTTAGGCATTTGAAGATTGGAGATGTCAGAGGGTAATCCAGTCGGCCACGGTCACTACTGCATTCTGAACACTGGGTACAAACGTTAGCAGTTAACAGAGGTGAATTTAGAACATGGTTCCACATTAAGCAGACAGTGCGCAGCTTGGCCTGCGTCCTCGTGCTCAGGTGGGAGAACACTTCCAGCCACAACTCCGGCGGCAATCCAGCATAAATTACCGTTGCCTTTGAAACTTCGGAGGCCTCGGACGTTTTGGTGATACTGAGAAGGCGTTCAATCAGTTTCACATGGAACGCATCGAGTTCTGCCTGCAAAAACCTTTGGTAGAAGTTCTCCGATTCTGATAATAGCAGTGGTTACTGTGGCCAGGTCAAAACCCACAAATAAAACGCTTACATAAAATAACGAAGTAATAACGAAGTTCACTATTTAAAACAAAATAATAACGAAGTTCACTATTAAAAGCTGATCATTTAGTACATCAGTATATACAAATACTAACCGCAGCTAATTCGGGTACTGTCTGATGATCGACGTAAAACAAACTTCCATTCACAATCTCCACAATCGCTCCAAAGATATTACGCGTTCCCAGGTCGGAAAAACATCGCACCTTTTCGCGGCCCAGCTGTTTACGCAGTTCTTTGGCTGACATTGACGGAAAATCATCAGGCAGCTGCATTCTCCGCATTACAAAAGTCCGACTTCCAACGAGCTTGGCGCCCGTACCGTTGGGCACGGGCCAGCGTAGACGCTCAATGGGAACGATTTCCGAACGAGCATAATTTTCGCCCCATCGGACGATAGCCGTATAATTATACCATCCGCGGCTTTTTCTGGTGCAGCGCGCTGGATTCACAACCTCAGCCGGCACCCACGTCCACGGATCCGAAAGGTTTTCGCGTTGCAGCAGTTCCACCGGGATATGACGTTCTGGTTGTTTTTCCCAGCTACACACCAGTTGACCTGGATCAACATTACGATCCATTGCGAGAAGGAAAACCCCGCTGCCGAAAGGAAAGAAGCGACGTCGTGCGCGGCTGCACAGAAAGTCCACAGTGTATCCGAGGTCAGTCAAGCCCACCACTCGTCCATAGCGAGCCACTCCATCGCTGTCGACCACATCCACACTGTTTGTGCGATAGACTAATCTCAGCATGGCTCTGCAACATATGTGTAGGAAATGCGACGCTAACACAGTTAAACATTCGTACAAAACTTAAGCCAGAAAACTTAGACATGTATCAATAAGTCTCGGACGCACAACAGTATTTAGCATACTAACGCTTAAACGCAGAATTAGAACAACTTCACGAATTTTTGAAAAGTTTCGCTTTGGCGTTTGTTTAAGTTGTTTCAATATAATCAGGTCGCGACAGTACCACAGGAACGATAACGATGTAATTAGTGCGCTACCCAGATAATTCGAAGTGGCTATGTTGAAGCAGTGTTTGCAGTAAAACAGCCTTAGCTATTTTGCCGCACTATGGCCGGCAAAATAGACGGGTCGGCCTACTTTACCACTGCCCGCCCTTTGCCTTTGCCTTTACACTTTGCCCTTTTCAACTTTAGCTTCGACTTTGCCGGCGAGATTACCTTCACCGTCCCGGATGACCTTTGGAAAAAAAGGTTGCAAAGCCCGTCCCGTTAATTAACCTTTAAAATATTAGCGTCGCCACTTCACCGTTTGAAAAATGCATCTTTCTGTCGCTGTTCGATGAGTTAAAATTAGGCATGCAATTACTGGCCATTACCATTCATATGTACGAAAACATAATACTACTGTATGATTGTATCCACCCGGTAGACCTGCACCACAGAGTCTTTTAGACGGAAAAGGACGCGCACGCTGTTCGGAGGCCGGTGCTCAACATAGCGTATGCCGCATGCGATGCCCGGTCGGGAGCAGGCAGCTGCCGGATGTGAAAGTGGTGCCAGTCTATCGGACGCATACAGTACGAGTGCAATACTATGTTATTGTGCAGCAGTGGCGTTTTAAGCAATTTTATTGCTGATTTTACTGGCATTGCACCATTTGTGGACCCTCCGGTTGTCGAGCGACAACGTAACAGAAGCACGCGTGCGGTGGCCCATGCCACAGGCTGTTTTAACGTAAATCTTTGAAAATTCATAACTTTGTTCATTCCTCCATTAAATTTTTATGCATAGTCTTTGAAAAATGCAGAATAATACACAGTATCAGGCAAAAGAAATGCTTTTTAATTTTTCTTTCAGGATTGTGCGCTGTTAGCCTGCGCGGCTAGCATAGCCGCCTATGGAGGATTTCCCATAGGCGGCTATGTTAACCGCAGAGGCTCATACTGCATTACCCTAAAGAAGAAACAGAAAACATTTATTTGGGGCAACAGCCTGTGGCATGGGCCACCGCACGCGTGCTTCTGTTACGTTGTCGCTCGACAACCGGAGGGTCCACAAATGGTGCAATGCCAGTAAAATCAGCAATAAAATTGCTTAAAACGCCACTGCTGCACAATAACATAGTATTGCACTCACAGTACCTGTAACAGCCAGTCTTTGCCGTTGTGTGGTCTGCGTACAGTATTACAGTTTCATACCATAAAGAATCTAACTGCCTACCAACGAAACAATTTCAGTACAGTACCTTACTCTGTCTTAATAGGATACGCGATACTAAACGGACTGTTGTAAAATGTGGCCTGTGGGTGTCTGTACCTTTTTTCGTGAGGATCGGAATAATAAAATTGCATTATATCTGTATATGCATTTTTAAATTTTATGCTTCGAACAGCAGGAAGAATCTCTGTGCTGTGGTGATAGTCGCATTTTTCAAACGTGAAGTGGCTCATTTTTTTAAGGTTAATTTAACGGGATAAGCTTTTAAAACGGTTTTTTCCAAAGGTCACCGGGCACGGTGAAGGAAATCTTGCCGGCAAAGTCAAAGCAAAGGAGAAGACCCGGACTAACACTGCGATGCATTCCGAGGAGGAAAACCTTGCTGTCGAAAGGAAAGAAGGGCCGTCGCGCGCGGCCTCACAGAAAGTCCACAAAGAACCCCAGATCAGTCACATCTACCACTCGTCGTCACATATACCACTACTCCATCGACCATCGCAACCCACTACATCCACACTACCTGTCTGGTGGACTCCGCTTATAAACATGCTTAACCTGGTATCGTGTTCATCGCAATGAATAAGCAATTAGTGTCATTTGAATTTTGGATACAGAAAAAGAGACCAATTTACGAAATCGTTAGCAGGACGCAATTAAATTCATTCCATCGAATTTTGCTGTGGAGCATGGATTTTTGGTTTACGGGAACAAAAACCTTGTAACGAGTGAATGCGAATTGTGTTGCATGCCAGCTCATTAATATGGAACACGCTCAAAATTAAAAAAACGGTTTCCGATTTTCGTATCCAGAGTCTAAGTAACGTGTGTGATCATAAACGTGGTTTTGACCACAAAGCAAATTTGCACGTGCTCAACTACGGGTAGACTGCGGTACAGAATGCATCAAAAATTTGCCTAAACGGGAGTCCAAAACTCATCATTCAGGATTTCAGTAGTTCACGAAATTTTGTAACCGACAACCTTCCGTAATCGGTAGTTGAATTTAACTAAAAAAAACAAGATCCGCTCTGCCATCTTTGCTAAAATAATACGAATATCGACACGACTACTTATTCAGCGGAGTTTTTGCAGTAACTAAGTTACAACAGAATTAGTAAGAACAACAGTCAACGTTGTAAACAAGGAGCTGCATCTGAAACCCAGTCGCTGACAGCATCCCTCCCACGGCCAGTTCATTTTTTACCGATTTCGGCCAGACGGATAAGAAAATGCACAGCAATGCGGGACAGTTTCTCTAACTGCAAATTCTGCAGTCCATCGATACACCACTTCTTCCCACGATAGTGCAGCATCCCTCGCCGATCCGCTGTCTGCGTCGCACACAATACCTGCAGAATAAAACCATTCATATAGCCCGACGGAGAATTGCAGCAAAATAAAGTACTGTACCTTGCAAGCAACTTGAACAAGGACGTTTTGGTTAGCCGCAGAGGCTACTGTTGTCAGCCACTGCGTAAGCATTTGCTGCTGCTCCAAAGTGGGCGTTGGCAAACCTATCTCGAACGCTTCCCACACCGCGCATTCCAGGTTGTTTGCTTTCTCCAATCGAGCCATAGAGACCTTGCTGGTGAACTGCGGCTTTAACATGTCCGGCCACCCGTTCACGTGATTAACGTGGACACTGCAGTTTAATAAGCGGATTCCATCACATGGAAGATTCTGACATGCCGCAATGAAACCATCGAGGCGAATTACATGCAGTTCATCAATAATCCCGTTGAACTTTCTGGGTGCTGGTTTAGGCCAATGCTGCACACATTCGTCAAGATCCCACACAGAATCGTAACTCAGACCGATTTGGAAGCTGCAGCGAAAACCCTGAAAGTACAGTGCTGGCAGGCGCAGTGATGATTTTTGCTCCGCCACATAGTGGATCATGTCCAGCACTTTATAGATATCACAGTCGCTCAACAACGGCTTGCGATCAGCCACGATGATGCGCTTGGTCGAAGAGCTTAGACATTTAAAAATTGGAGTCACCACGTAATAATCTCGGCGGTCATAATTTTTCATTTGACTGGATTCAGTGGTCGTAACAACAATGTTGGCCGTCAGGATAGCGGAGTCAAGTAAGCAGGAAAACGTTTCACACACAGCCCGCAGTTGATTCTGCTTTAGCGTATCCAACTGCGAGAAGACCTCCAACCACACCTCCACGGATAACGCGGTCAATACACACTGTGCTTCCTCATTTTCAAATTCCACGGTCGCTGAATGTGGCACGCGAATAACACGCGCGAAGCATTCCATTAAGCTTTCGTGAAATTTCGTTGAAGTGGCCTGAAAAATAAAGCGAGACATTTAACTAGAGAAAACACACTGCGACGATTAGAGGGCGTATTTCGTACAGTACAGCTGTCAAGAACTTGGTCGGCGGCACAGTCCCGTCTAGGACGCTCGATAAACCATAAGTAATCATCCAGAATGTCCACGAAGGCAACTGACCACATCTGTAATTCAGTGTGATCCATCCAGCCACCCGTCATCTGTCTACGTATTTCTTCAGCCGACATGGAGCAATACATTTTCGGTAACAGCATGCTACCCTTAACAAACGTCCCTTTCTCAACACGTTGAACACGTTCGGTGAATGCGGCAGCTTGTTCTGCAGACGCGTCACCGGCAGTCCACCAGTCGTCTGGTACTCGCCGACGCACTCGGTCGGCAAGGACAATATCCGTACGCACCGCTGCAGTGCCCCAACGCACGATACCCACGTTATAGGATTCGTATTCTTTACCGCGAGCCAAATTAGCCATTTCAGCGGGGAACCACTGCCACGGACTAGAGGGGGTTTCACGCATCAACACTTCCACGGGGATGTTCAGGTCCAATGTGGCGTACATGTCGGCCACACCTCCAAGTCCGCCCATGGTAGTTGTGCCCGTGGAATGCAAGAAGACGCTGCTGCCGTACTGGAAGAATCGGCGGCGCTCGGTAGATAAGAAGTCGACGAAGAACCCAGTGTCCGTAACATCGACCACTCGCCCGTAGCGTGCTACTCCGTCGCCGTCCACAATATCCACACTATTTATCTGATCGATTCCGCTAAACATGCTGAAGGGTATCTGACACTGACAGACGATCAACCGTACACGTAGGGCTTACAACGGCGCACTGGAAGTAAAACGTATGATATTATGAAACCAACTTTACAGCGTCTATTGGAAGCGTTCGTACTGAAAATCAGATGAATCAATGACATCAGTCAGTGATTCATCTGATTTTCATAGTAATAATTATTTCGTTTCAAGTACTGTTGTTCCGCTTGAATGATCCTCAGAAGTTGAGAACTTACCATAAGGAGACCACCTTTTTGTACCAAAGTTATGCTCCAGGGATAAAGTCAATAAAAAGCCGAAATCACCTACAAAAAGCGAAAACACAACGAACCTCACGTACAACGAGCTGAAGGCTAAAGCGTTTTATTTATCTGGCTTCGTGCTTCATCTAAGAATCAAGTCTCAGGCTGACTAGATCGCAGAAGTGCAGACTGCAGACCAAGAAGCGCGCTGTTTGCTTGATTTTCTCCTTTGCCGAGTTGGCTCTGCTTCTGACGGACAAATTGGTCAAATTGCGCCAACCTTGTTTGACAGTTAATTTATTAAAAATTGCGTAAAGAATCGTGTTGCTTTTATTCTCGGTAGATCGAAGTGGAGCTGAAAGCCAGCAAGCAGTTGAAGGTAAAAGTTTGCGTCACTTATGCCTTCGATCTTTAGCACTTTTAGTACTCTCACAGTCAGGAACGCTACTGGCTGCCATAGCGTCCACATGTATCGTATCTGAAGTTTGAACTTCATTTGTCGTTTCCCAGGTATCGTGTACAATTTCAGCGGAACTGGCCAGATGAACAGCGTGGATATTGTGGGCTATGACGGTGTTGTGAGCGGAGAAGCGGCTCACGTACAGCGATAAAGTCATTCAAAGGATTTCAACGTATTGTGCCGTGGTGCAGTGGTACTGCCTACGCGGATCTAACGACGTAGCCGGGGTTCTATTCCCCCATCGGCGCCTTTTTCAGCAGTTTCTCGGTTTCCCTCGGATTGCGCCCTGCTGATTTGGTAGCAGATCGTGGTTGGATCACGGACCTATGGTATGAGACTAGTGCGTTAGCCTTCCTTGACGAGCCGGGAAAAAGAGAAAAAGAAAAGATGCGGTTATCGGGAAGCCGCTGCGGTTATCGGGAAACCGCTTGAAAACGGATAAAAGGATGCGGTAACTGCAGCCGCTTAGGAGGATCGCTTAGTCTTGCCACGAGGACGTGGCGAAAGCTGCAAAGGGGGCGTGAGGAGAGAAGCGGCTCACGTACAGCGACAAAATCTTTCAAATGATTTCAACGTATTGCGCCGTGGTGCAGTGGTACTGCCTACGCGGATCTAACGATGTAGCCGGGGTTCGATTCCCTCATCGGCGCCTTTTTCAGCAGTTTTTCGATTTCCCTCGGATTGCGCCCTGCTGATTGTGTGGTACGCTACGGACGAGTGATCGATGTGACTGACATCGGGTTCTATGTGGATTTGTTGTCTACCGAGGGACGCCGATTCTTCCCCTTCGGCAGCAACGCCTTCCGTCCGCCCACTGCCCCGAACCGTGAGTGGGGAGGTCTAGCCAACGAGTATGCTAAACCGGACCTGACCATCCTCGTGGAAGTGCTGATGCGCGAAACGCCTAGCGGCCCATGGAGATGGTATCCTGCTGAAATGGTTAATCTGGCTCGCGGTGCACAGTACGAATCGTACAACGTGGCTATTGTGCACTGGGGTGCGACGGTGGCGCGTACGGATATCGTCCTCGGCGAGCCAATCCGCCGCAGAGACCCGAGCCATTGGGGGACAGCCGCAGCAGGCAAACGCATTGAGAAGGAAACATTTGCTAAAGCTGGCATGCCATTACCTAAGGCTTACTGCTCGCTGTCGGCAAAAGAATTGCGCCGATTGATGCCGAGTTACCGGTTGGATTGTGCTGGATGGTGGATGTGGTCGTTTGCCTTCGTGGATATTGTGGACGATCATTTATGGTACATCGAGCGTCCTCGGACAGAACGCGCAGCCGGCGGAAATTTTTTGGATGAACTTTTGGTAAGAATGTGCCTTTGGGTTGTTTCAACAGGCTTTTCTAGTCCCTTCGCGCTGATTGTGTAGGATTTTTCACCAGCGGCGCTTCACAGCATATTGTTTGACCATTTTGCACGCACCTTTCGACTGCCAAAGCCAACGACCGTAGAATTGGAAAACCAGGAATCACATGATGTTTCGACTGTGTTGTCTGGGGAATTATGGTTGGAGGTCTTCTCTCAGTTAGGTACCTTGCCACGAACTTTACTGCGGACTGTGTGCCAGATGTTTGCCTGCTTACTGGACTCCCCCACTTTGAGTGCAGATATCTTTATCACGACCGCTGACTGCGACCAAATGGAAAATTATGACCGACGGGATTATTTTGTTGTGGCACCAATTTATCAGTGTCTGAGCTCGTCGACAAAGCGTATCATCGTGGCGGATCGAAAGACGCTGCTGAGTGATAGCGATATTTGGAAGGTGCTGGATATGATCCACTACGTGGCAGAGCGCAGACCACAACTGCGACGGCTAGCACTGTATTTTTTCGGATTCCGCTGCAGCTTCGAACTCGGTTTGACTTGCGATTCTAGGATGGAGCACGGCAACTGCGTGCTGCATGGGCCTAAACCACTGCAGCAAAATTTCAACGGGTACACCGACGCATCGGATGATATTCGTCTCTGTGATTTCGTCGCAGCATACCAGAAGCTTCCCTGCGATGCGATCCGCTTGATTAACTGCACCATGAACGTCAACATGTGGCCTAATACACTGCATCCGCTAGAGATCAACCACCTGTCCTTAACTCCACTGGAAAAACCGAATAACCTAGAGTGCACGGAGTGGGAAGCTTTGGAGACGAGTTTACTCGTGCCCACGTTGGATCAGCGGCAAATGGTATCGCAGTTGTTGACGAAGCTGGGAAATGCCGCGGAGGGCGATCCCCTCATGTCATTTGTCTGCAAGGTAATTTGTTTGTCTAATGCCATTTTGTGGCAGCATTCTACCGTGTGAACAAATAGTCTTCCGCAATTTTGTCCAACACATCACCCGTAAATGCAGCAACATAACAAAGTGATATTGCGGCGCAGTATGCGGCAAGGCAAGTAAGGTTCAAAGACGGCTTTGTCGCATAAAGAAAACAACTGAAGTGTACGTTGCCGCAAAAACAGGGATAGAATAACCTCTTCAAGTATTTTCTGTTGCTGTCGGTCCTCGGGGCAACTTTATTAAACGGCCTTCATTTGCAGGTGTTGTGTGTAACGCAGACAGCGGATCCGCGAAAACGTTACACTATCGTTGGAAAAAGTGGTGCATAAATGGCCTAAAGGATGTGCATGTATTGCTGTGCACGCCCTTGTCCCACTGGTGGAAATTGGCACAGGATGACGTGAGCAGGAGACTTCTACAATCTTACACTGCAAGCAGATTTTGCTCTCTGCATAGTTAACCTCTTGGGTTAAGGGTAGAATTGTCATTGCTTTTTCAAAACTGGTTTGAACTTTTCCGGGAGAGAATGTTTTACGCACGCCTGTACAAGTTCTTTTTTATAATTACTGGATTAAGTGGGTTGAGTGCAGGAAGTGTTTCTGTAACTTTTGATTGAGTGCTAGATGAGTTCATCTACCCTGCATCGATATACGTAGCGTAGCCCGTAGGATATTACTCCACTTTACCTTTACCGTTGTGAAAACATACATTTGCCTTTACCGTTTTCATTTGCCGTTATCTGTACATTACAACACCAGGTTAGCGCCAACACATTGCTGTTTTCAGTCTTTTCAATACTGTAAAATTATGCAAACATGTTAACAGGTGACTTCGACGTGTATTACGAAATTCAAGTCTAATTACACAGCGGGTGCACCGGCACAAGGCACCGGAATGTTTAGTAAACCCCGAAAAGTTATCGCTGTCGCTGACATTCTTCACCTCCAGTCAAACCTTTTAAAATAAGCTCAAGGCTCGGGGCAACCGTTTTCGTCTTTAATGGAATTTTATTTAATGGAAATGGATATTTAACAAAAAATGTAATTAATTTTCGAATAATAAAATTTTTTAAATTAGCAATTTTTTTAAATCGTCAGTTTAATTTTGTTGGTTTTTGTTGAAGTTGAATTACATATTTATTTAAGTTCAAATAATATATATTTAAAAAATAAATTTTTAACTTTCTGTACTTGGGAACTTTGGGGTAGATTTTTCGTGACAGTGTGACAGCTCCTCCCACCTGTATGACGTCAACCACCAAATAAAATGTATTTAAAAATTATTTATTTTAATTTTCTATACTTGTGAGCTTTGGGGTACATGAATAAAAATTTGCAAGCAATACAAATGTCTAGAGTAGGAATTGACTAATGACAATGTGTAGAAAAGGCGTTAAACTGTAGCTGCAAATACTTCATTCATGATTTTATTACTATACAGATTATTAGTTTACGGAAGAACGTGGCCGGCGACCTTCAGTTATGTGTTAATGAATTTTATTTTGAAAAAACAAAGATCACTTATACCATTTTTGCTAAAAGAATGCTAATATCGGTACTAATTATTTATTCAGCAAAGAGTCTTCGTACTGTAGTAACTAAAGTTGTAGAATCAGCAAAAAGCAGCAGCAAACAGTTGTAGAAAACAGCAGCAGTCAGCTACGTAAACAGGGAGGTGCATCGGCATCTCGTTTGAAACTCATTAACTAACACCATCCTACTCTGCGCCCGTTAATTCTGTTACGATTTCAGCCAGACGGAAAAGAAAGTGCACAGCAAGACGGGACAGTTTCTCCAGCTGCAAATTCTGCAAGCCACCGATGCACCACTTCTTCCCACGATAGTGCAGCGTCTCTCGTGGATCCACTGTCTGTGTCGCACACAATACCTACAGATCAAAATAGTAGTTAATATTGCTGGAGAAAGAATAGCAGCAAGACGTATTACTGCACCTTGCAAGCAACGGGAACATGAACGTCTTGGTCAGCCGCAGTAGCTACCGTTGTCAGCCATTGCGTCAGCATTTGCAGCTGTTCCAAAGTGGGCACTGGCAAACCCATCTCCAAAGTTTCCCACACCGCGCATTCCAGGTTGTTTGCTTTCTCCAGTCGAGCCATAGAGATCCGGCTGCAGAACTGCGGCGGCAACATATCTGGCCACCCGTTCACGTGGTTGATGTGGACAGTGCATTCTAGCAAGCGGATGGCATCACATGGAAGACTCTGACATGCCGCGATGAAATCATCGAGGCGAATAACATGCAGATCGCTGGTGTAAGCGTTGAACGTCTGCGGCGCTGGTTTGGGCCCGTGCTGCACACATTCGTCTTGATCCAACACTGAGTCGTAACTCCGACCGATTTGGAAACTGCAGCGAAAACCTTGAAAGTACAGTGCTGGCAGGCGCAGTGATGATTTTTGCTCCGCCACATAGTGGATCATGTCCAGCACTTTATAGATATCACAGTCGCTCAACAACGGCTTGCGATCAGCCACGATGATGCACTTGGTCGAAGAGCTTAGACATTTAAAAATTGGAGTCACCACATAATAATCCCGGCGGTCATAATTTTCCATTTTACTGAATTCAGTGGTCGTGACAACAATGTTGGCCGTTAGGGTAATGGAGTCCAGTAAGCAGGAAAACGCTTCACACACAGACCGCAGTATGTTCTGCGTCAGCGTATCCAACTTCGAGATGACCTCCAACCACACCTCCACGGATAACGCGGTCAAGGCACGATGTGATTCCTCATTTTCAGACTCCACGGTCGCTGATTGTGGCACGCGAATAACCCGCGCAAAGCATTCCATCAGTTTATTTTGGAACCTCGTTGAAGTTCCCCTGCAAAATTAACAAAAAGGACAATCAGATGAGCACACTGAAACGATCAAAGGGGGCATTTCATACCGCCGAGCGGTCGTTGAGTGCACCGTACTCCCTGGGACGCTCGATAAACCACAACCGACCATCAACAATGTCCACGAAGGCAACTGACCACATCGACAATCCAATATGATCCAACCAGCTACCCGTCATCATTCTACGTAATTCTTCGGCCGACATGGTGCAATACGCTTTCGGTAACGGCATGCTGCTTTTAACAAATGTCGCCTTTTCAACCCGTTTGGCTGGTGTGACTGTTTGCTCGGCTGCGGGTGCGTCCACGGTTGTCCACCAGCTGCTTGGCACTCGCTGACGGATTCTTTCGGCAAGGACAACATCCGTGCGCACCGTCATCGTGCCCCAACGCACGATCCCCACGTTATATGATTCGTACTCTTTACCGCACGCCAAATTATCCATTTCTGAGGGATACCACTGCCATGGACTGGAGGGAGTCTCACGCATCAGTACTTCCACGGGGATTGTCAGTCCCGATGTGGCGTACAAGCCGGCGAGACCTCCAAGTCCACCCATGGTTGTTGTGCCCGTGGAATGCAAGAAGACGCTGCTGCCATACTGGAAGAATCGGCGGCGCTCGGTTGATAAGAAGTCGACGTAGAACCCGTTGTCCGCAACATCGACCACGCGTCCGTAGCGTGCCACCCCGTCGCCGTCCACAATATCCACACTGTTTGCCTGATCAATTCCACTGAACATGCTGAAGGGTACCTGGGAGACGATTCACAGAACATGTAGGGTTTACAGTGGAGCTGTGTAAGTAAAATTTAGGAAACCAAGTTGGCAACGTCTAGATGAAGCGTTCGTACAGAAAATCAGACACAAAACTGACATAGCAGTAATGATTAACCATAATTATTAGGCTATGGCTATTTTTGCCGCAGTATAACAATAAGGGTCTGAATAGCCCTCAGGCTATTTTGCCGCACACTGCGCCAGAATAGCCAGTTGGCTATTTTGCCGCACTACGGTGGGCGAAATAGCTTGTTGGCTATTTTACCGCACACTGCGTTAAAACAGCTCGTGAGCTATTTTGCCGCACTATGGACGGGAACAGCATAATTATAATGCTGCGTGCACGGCGAAACACGGGCGTTGGCTGCGTGCACGGGTGAATGCACGGGCGTTGGCTATTTGCACGGGGTTCGGGCACGGGTGTTGGGTGCGTGTACGGCATTTTAATTTTGTGTTTTTTTACGTTAACGTATTGGCTGATTTGTGTTAGAAATTATATTACCAATATAATATACACTCATGATGTGTCATGTACTTGTGAACTATGACCATTGTCTAACTAGCTGATCTATGAGTGTACGGTGCACCCAGGTCACCAATCCCCTTGTTTAGGTGCAGTAACTTACTAATATCGAGAATGTACCGTGTGCTATATAAGCAACCAGCTTGTATAACGTTGGATGAACAGAACATAACAGAACTGACACCAGTGTGTGCGACGCTTCCGGTTTCTGTTCCCGTGACTATAATAATCTCATAATATAAATTCTGAATAAAATATATATTTTGACGTGATAACATCTTGTGGTTCCCCACGTTTTATTCAGTCACAGCAGGTTTTTCTACCGGTTTTCTGACATATGTTTGATTCAGGTGGTAATGGTGTCAGCTGCATGCTTTCATAAGCAGCTGCCAGGTAAGTTTGCAACGGTTCCAGCTCAAAAATGGCCGTTCCAGGATCCATCCCGAAAACGACCGCGGTAGTCACAGCTATCGCATTTCACTTCGCGCTGCTTTTGGCATCTCTCACTTCGATTTTATGCCCTTCATCAAGTTTATAATCTTCTTCCAATTTTGCAATATAATAATTCTGAAGCAAAAGAAATCGC